TTTGGGTAGGGTTAGGTATGTAATTTTAGGGTAAGTTTTAGGCTGTAGAAATGAATGGAAGTCACTGGAAAGTCCCCACAAAGATAGCCATGCAAATGTGTGTGTGTGTGTGTGTGTGTGTGTGTGTGTGTGTGTGTGTGTGTGTCACACAGTGGAAGAAAGCAGAAGAGAAGCTGGAAAAGGAGCTTCTAGAGGCCGAAGCTTCAGAAAGCAAAGAGAAGAAGACCAAACTGGTAAGACTTGGTTCAGAAATTAAATGAGAGGACAGAGTACAGAAAGAAGCTAATATCCTCTTCTCCCTCTTCTTCATCTGCAGCACACAGAGACTCTGAACATTATCTTCCTCATCTACTTCAGGATCCTGAAGAAAGCTCAGCGATCGGTTCTCCTCCCTGCTGTCCTGGAAGGACTGGCTAAGTAAGACACACTCTGGATGACAACAATGTTACAGGACATTTGTAGTAATGACCATGATGCCACTTTCCTCCAGTTTTGCTCACCTGATCAACCTGGAGTTCTTTGATGACCTGCTGAACGTGCTCCAGAACCTCATCCAATCAGGAGTAAGTATGCCACCCCTAAACAGCAGTCTGCATCTCAATATTTTAATTGATACCATTGATCTGTGCAGAATCTGACCAATCGGGAGAGTCTCCACTGCATCCAGACAGTCTTCACCATCTTGTCTGGACAAGGTAGGATTGTTCTTCTGAGTCTTTAATGAACACCGAAGGTTTCAAACGTTGTAATACCAGTCCACACCGAGGCCTGTCCACATTCAGTAGATCTTGAAGAAAGAAATGTTCTACTTTAATGACTCTGCTCTGTGGTTTACAAGAACAGCCTCTTGGTTATGTAGTCTAAGCAGGAGAGTTGGTGACTCAACATGGACAGTTTGTTACATCCTCACTTTGCCCCTTTTAATCAGAATCAGAATGCTTTATTGTTATTATAATTTCATTCCAGTACAACCCATCCAAAGACAGACAAATACACAAACAGGATAAGGAAGACAGGTGACCGGGGCTGCAGCCCTTTGCATTGGATCAGAAAATGAAAACATGAGGTGAAAAAAAATCATAACTCACACTGTCTCCACAGTAAGGGCAACCTCAAAAAAAGGTTGCACAAAAAAAGTAACATGTAGACAGGAGTGAAGGCGGTGAGTTTGAGGGGTGTGTGTTTCTAACCATAAAGAATGAAAGTCAGTGTGAGAGTGCAGGAAGCGTTAGTCCCTGAACACTGCCCCAGAGAGCAGGAAGAGAACTGCTTTTTTGTTTAGATCAGTTCTAAACTTGGATTCAGATTGGTGTGGAGGTAAATGTTTCTGTTTTTGTGGACCAGGTGATGCCCTGAACATCGATCCTCTGAACTTCTACTCTCAGCTTTACAAAATTCTGCTCTGGCTTCATGCGGGTGTGTTCACAACTTTTTAAACTTTTCTAAACTACCAATCACACAGACCTCACAATTCAAAAGGTTTGAGTTTCACACTTTGGCTATATCAGGGGCACCCAATGATGACATCATCATTGTGCTGCGGTGTCTGGACGCCATGCTGACTCGTCGCAGGAAGCAGGTAACCCTGCAGAGAGCCATGGCCTTCTTCAAACGACTGAGCGTGCTCAGTCTACATGTCCTGCCCAATGCCAGCATTGGAATTCTTGCAGCAAATCGAGCTACCATGCATGTGAGTCTTTCAAGCCTTCTAAATGAACCTGGCTCTTTTTAGTTAATGGAAAAGATTGCCAAACTTCCACCTGTTTGTCAAAGCTCATTTTGTTCTTTCATTTGACAGTCATTCCCCAAATGCGACTTCCTTTTGGATAACGAAATTCAGGGCAGTGGCTTCTACCTGATGGAGCTGGATGAACCTGAACATTGCAGTGCTCAGAACACTGCACTCTGGGAGCTTCACACACTGCAGGTTCAGAAATGGGCTATTAGCCAGTTTGGTTGTTAACAAATTGACTTTCAAAGAAACTTTCAGTTTAAGTTAAACTCAAATGTTTATCAAATATTACCTTTATCAAAAGCCTAGGTAAAGAACAATACAGAATTTTCTAGACCAATTTTCCATTGAGCACTGTATTTAAAAAAGATCCCTAAAAATATTGTCAAAATACTCACTTGTCTAATGGTGCACATGTATGTGTGTGTTTATGTGTATCTCATACATTGCACCAACGTACCCTGTAAACTTTGAAAGCCAACCTGGGAGCCAGAGTTCTCCTCTCACCTCACACATAGATCGACACACACGCCTGACTTCAACATGTTTGTTTTGCTGTATTTTCAGAGACATTTCCACCCTGTTGTACGACGGTTTGCGGGTCATTTGAGTCATGGAGCTCCGAGTGATGGCTCGGCAGCACTCAGTATGGAGCTCAGCCGCAGGTGAAACACTTTCAGTGTTCTGCTTTAGTTACAAGCAGAGGTGGAAGCCATGTAAAATTACATTCAGCAACAGCATGGTCTTGCCAGCTGCGTCAAAAGATGTCTTCACCTTTTCAGGTCTCCACTGGAGCTGTTTGAAGACTACAGTGTCAAAAATATGACCTTTAACCCACCTGTGGCTTCGCCCACGTCCAAGAAGAAGGTGAGAAAGTCCTGTTCACCTGCATCCATGTTTTTATTCTGATTCTTATTTCTTCATGTTGTGTGTGTTTGTGTTTACCTGCATGCTGAGCTCAATTTCTCATTATTCAGGATCAGTTTGTGGTTGGAACGGCGTTGCTGGACAACAGGCTGCAGAAGCAAGCAGATAGCATCCTGAGTGATACACACATGGACTTCACTTCAACATGCCACTGAGACTCTCACACACTCGCATCGAGGACCTGCTTGGAGGACAAACAGATTCCTTTTTATTGAAAACAGGTTGAGGTGGTGTAGAACAGGACACACGACCTGGAGATGCTTTGTGATTAAGACTGTTGAGTCCTACAGCACATAATAGTGGTGAAGTAAAATATTCCCAGCACATTGCTGGGAAACTGAAATTTTTAAAGCTGATCAGCTCCAAATTAAGCTGAAATATCTGATTGTGGATCATTTAACCTCAGCATGACCCATTGAGCAATCACAGCAATAATAATGGTTTGAAAGTCAGATTGAAATGAGGAATTATCACCAATCTCTGTACTAAATATGTTGCTTTGGGAGTAATTTAAATAAAACTAAAACAATACTTGCTGGTCTTTTACTTCCTTATCTATGCTGTGTGTTGATGTCAGTTATGTCTGATTCATCAGTGGACATTTGCATCATGTGATTTGAATCTGATCGATCAAAGTACTCAGTGGAAAGCCCTCGAGGTCATATATGTGTGAACATTTCATGTTATTTTGACTCGTAGACAATGAGCAACCAACACAAAGTATATGATGCTGCTTACAAGTTCAATAGGCTCAAAATGTTGTGTTAACACATACTTTACACATTTTTTACTCTTTAACAGTATGTCAATGTGTGTGGTGTTTGTGCCTTCTGTTAAAGGAGCAGTACTATGTGTTTTCCAGTCATAAGTCCACTTCAAAGCAAATAATAAGCAAGTAATAAAAATGGTGTATATTTAGTGGTATATTCAGTGGCGTCTTCTGACATGGGCAACAGCCCAGGGTGGCATCTTGTGGGAAATGGCATGAGCGCCACCATCCCCCCACACCCTCAGATGCACCTCCACTCCCCCATCCCCCACCAATCACAACCAGAGAATCTCATATCAACAGTGCCTAATGCAATAATGCTCTTCAATGGATTCGATTCCTGCTGCACCTGTCTCCGTCGCCTCAGCTATAACACTTTACCCCACCTTGGCTGCTGCTACAGAGCCTCACTTCTGTAGCAGCAAGCTTGCCATCATGTGTGCATGAACAGAAATAACTCATTTTATGTAAAGCGTGTCCTACTAAAACACTATAGATGTTTTTGTAGCAAATCAAGTAATAAAAATTAGTATATAATTTCATTTAAATTTATATATTTTAAAACAGATCTAGAGACATTAACAAGTCAATAGTTTCTAAAGCTGCTGTAATTTTGACTGTTTAAACAAAAAACTGCATCTGTCATTTTGACAGACTACAACTACGTCCCTGACCCAGGGGTGTGCCGCCAGAAATCTTGGGCCCCATGACGAAAAATGAAATTGGACCCCTCCTGCGCACCTGCTGTTATAATTTCTTGAGTCTATCTGACCCGTATGCCGAGATCGACGTATTGCACCCCTGCTTTAAGCACGAACAGTTCAGAAACAATATGAAATGGGGAAAAAAGGTATCTGATTAAGTAGTATTTTATATTGTTCTTCAAAAACTAATCAGTCACGGCTGATTAGTGGGTGCACTCACAGCTGCACAGTGAACCCATTGATTTTTTTTTACAGCAGACAGCCGCTCCCCTCTCTTGCAGGCAAATCTTTTAGGGGTCACCTGTTAAGTGACCACTTAGGACAGGCACGCACATTTCTACGTTATGTGGTGCGTGAGCGCAGTTTGTTCTCAGTACTGAGTGTGAATGGGTGTGCAAAACTACGGCATCGTACATGTGCGCTGCATTATATAGAGATGGCTAATAATTAAAAAAAAAAAAAGTCCATCAATGTCTTTGACCTGGACACTAAACCTCCTGACAGCATGTTGAAGAGTTGGAGGCTGTGGAACAGTTCATGACCACAAGTTACACACCACAGGAGAAAATCCTGCTTCAAACAACTAGCGGGATCAGTAATGTTTATGTTAAATAAAAAACCTGTTTACTCGGCCCCCACAAAAGACATACTAATTTCCTCTGGAGCCAGGTCTGCGGTTTGGCTAAAACGTTTTTAAGAACACCCAGCTGATTGCATCAAGTCATTTACTTTCATTTTGTAATGTCTATTTTGGTTATTGATGTCATTTGTCTTGTCCACGATGTGTGCTGCTGCTTTTCTTGCCCATGTCATCTTTGTGAGAGAGGTCTTGATTCCTACTGGACTAAAATGAAGTGACAGTGGGCTATAGAGTGAATGTTTTACTTTATTTTTAAACAGCATCATCTAGACAGATGAGCTCATTTAGATTTTATTCATCATTCATATTGAAAAATATATTATAGAAAATTATAAAACTTGTACGCAGAAAGTCTTAAATAAAACTGAGGGCTCAGACCAACCAGAACCTCTGTACAGAAGGATGTTGCAGCAGTTTCCTTGGCAACTGATGTGCTTAACTGTGGAAAGTGAAGTAGTGTACTGTCGTCTTATGAGACAGCCGACTCCTGGCAGTTCATGCAAAGCAACACTTATGCAGTTTCAAGTAGCGCTGGTCGGCGTACCTCTTCCCACACCTGTCGCAGATGAACTGCTTGCCACCAGCATGTACATGCCTCTTATGCGTCCTCAGGTGGCTTCCCTGGCTGAAGGTCTTGGCGCATATTTCGCAGGCATACGGCTTCTCTCCAGTGTGAACGCGCAGGTGAAGCTTGAGGCTGTTGGCATTGTTGAATTTTTTATCACAGGTCGGGCAGTGGAAGGGCCTGTCTGTGGAGTGAGTGCGGCTGTGGGAGATCAGGCTGCTCTGCTGGCTGAACGTTTTTCCGCACTCCTGGCAACTGAAGGGCCGCTCGCCAGTGTGGATGCGGCCATGGATCTTAAGATTCACTGCCTGTCGAAACGTCTTTCCGCAGAGGTCACACCTGTAGGGCCTCAGGTCGCTGTGGATCCTCTGGTGGTTCTTGAGGTTGACGGCATGCCTGAACGATTTGGGGCACTGCTCACATTTGAAGGGCTTCTGGCCACTGTGGATGAGCTGGTGTGTTTTGAGTGTAACAGCGCGGGTGAAGCCTTTACCACAGTCATTGCAGATAAAGACTTTTTCCCTACTGTGGGTGACACTGTGGCGGTGCAAATTCTGTGGCAGGTTAAAGCGACGGCCACACACATCACAGCCGTACGGCTTTTCTCCAGTGTGTATGACAGTGTGTGTCTTGAGCTGTGTCTGCTTTGAAAACCGTTTTCCACACACAGGACACTGGAACGGGCGCTCGCCAGTGTGTGTTCGCATGTGGCTCTGCATGCTTTGGCGCTGGCGGAAGGCTCGGCTGCAGATACTGCAGGCAAACGGCTTCTCCCCTGTGTGGATGAGTTGGTGAGACTTCAGGTTGCTTTGAGATGAGAAGAACTTCCCGCAGACAGAGCATGAGAACAACGTTTGGGAGACATTCTGCTGGGAAGTCTCAGAGAGAACAGAAAACTCTGAAGGTAGCGGCTCTGGGTCTGATTGTGGAGATGGAGCAGCTTCAACCCAAGTTCCTGAGAGAAAACACAAAAACCAATAGAGGTATTATCTGAACTGACCAACAGTTCTGGAGAATGACTCATTTTAGAGTAAATCTGGACCTGAACTACTGTCACTAAAAGATAGTGTGTGTAAAATAAGTACTGAGCTCATCACAAATATTTTGCACACTGTAAAAAAAGACATATTTCTCCCTCATTGTCCAAGAAGAAATCCAACTATACGGTTCCTAGACTCAAACATTCCCAGACAAAAGCTTTTGTGAAAAATAAAATTAATTTCAATCTGATCATACATATTCAGGGTCAATTATATAGACTGACTTTAATAATAAATTCAAATTCTAAGAAATTGCTAATCACACCAAGTGTGTATGATGATTACAAAAACACATTCATTCATTTAAGTCATTGACTCACTGCATTTACTCCTCCATGTGTTTTGCATAGTGTCAAAGAAAATCATACAAAATATTTTTAAATGCTTGCATTTTGCAAAAATGAAATCATTTTGGTAATCCCAACTGATCTAATGGGAAAGGTTTAGTGTGACTAGTTAACCAGTATGAAATATTAGGTTGTCTTTTTATACAATATGATGTAATATGTGGATTCATCGGTACTTTAAAACACTCCAGATGTCAGTGACAGTTTAAATAATTCACACACAAAGAAATGAACAGAAAACACTACAAATTCATTTTGTGTACCAACAGAGGGTTTTTCTTTCTTTTTGTTTGTTTTTAGACACTTGATTTTCCAGTTCATGTCAGGCACATAAGCTGAGTAAATGTTCAGTTTTAAAAATTGGGATTTTATCAATTTAGGGAAGATGCTAAAAAAAAAAAAAGCTAAAAAAAAAAACAAAACAAAAAAAGATCCACAAAAAAAAGTACTGCACCCTTAACAGCCTGTCTGGCAACATAAAACATTCCTTGCAAATTCATTACATTTAAAAAGTTCACTCAACCACAGTTTCAGGGAAAGATAATTAAACATGATTCAATGATTTTGGTTTTTTTGCAACTTATCTACTTTTTCTGTTTTGCTGGATATTTTACTGTGTGCTGTAGTTGGAAATACGCTGGAATGCACTGGAAATTAATAAATGAAGGTCTTTCTGGAAATTGTCACCTTCATGCCGTTAAATGCTGGTTGCTGTTCACAACAAAATTATCAGAGGTTTGATCAAGAAAGTAAACAAAATACAAAATCCCAGAAATCTATTTTTCCAGATTTCTAAAACAATTCAGCCTCAAGTGAAAGACGAATAACATTAAAGGGGGTGGCCGGAAGATTTGCAAGCTTCTCAGGCTGACCGGGCCATCAGCTGAAGCGGGGTTTGATGTCCAGAAGCTTGTCAGTTAGAGGCTGACATTTCTCCTCGACACCAGCTTCAATAGAACCCTGTTGACCTGATGGGATAGGCTCCTCTTGCTTACAGCACTGATGTTTCTTGCCATTCACCCCAGCAGACTCTAAAGCAGCAGTGTTTTGTTGTTACCATAACTCTGTTGAAAATAGGATGAGACTCAAACACAAACTTTGTTGCTCTTGTTTGTCTGAAACTAATATGGCCGTAGCACATGAGCAGTGAACTGTTCTAAATTTAGCATTTTGACATCATTTTTACGTCATAGGGCCAGGCCGAAGGAGGCTGGGTCGAATGGGACCAGGCTAGGCCCTGCGGTGCAAAAGGACACCGCAGGGACAGCAATCCTCTGGCATTTATTCAGATTAATTAAAATATTTAAGTGTGTCAAATAAACAAAAATCCCATCATTAGATGCTTCCAGATTGATACCTTGGAAGATAAATCTTTTAATAGGCCACCAATTAGAACTAAATCCAAGTTATAGACTGATCAGTGTCATTTCTTTGTGTGGGGTTGTTACTGACATCACATGACAGTGTCGTACCTATTAGAATGATATTTTTAGAGAAAAATGCTGACATGTTCAAATTTCATTTTCTAGCAAATATGAATCAAGTTCTCACTCTCTCTAATGGCTTCCAGGTCAATGTTCCCATGTCCATCTTTAACGTTGACCGCTGGAACAAACTGTGTCTCCACAGCATCACCACCTGCTTTCAGCTGCAGTGACCCAACATCCAGATGTCAGTAAGGTCAATGAGGGCAACACAGACATGAACAGGTGAGACAGACTTACCTGAGCTTCTCTTTCTGCCTTACAGTTTTGGTTTCTGACTCCATATGAGTGCTCAAGCTCTGCTGGGAACAAATATTGACATCATAACTCTCCATCTCCTTTGATTGGTGTGTGACATTATTGGGGGCATTGCCTGTGTTCATACCCACGGATGTGTGGCTGAGGACGTTGAGGACGCTGGTCTGTGGCTTCTTACAGACATGCCCTACCTGAGCCACAAGCCTGGCTTCATCCATGATGTGTAGGATCCTCCCCAGAGCCTCGTTTCCCAGAGTCTCCATGATGGAAGCAAACTGCACCTATCAGGTTATACGATCCAGGTGAAGCATGCAAAACACTGAATAAATAGCAACAGTATGATGAATATTCATCACTTAATGAACATGTTTTCTTCCAGCCTTTAAGAACTGAAACACAAAACAGGAAGAAACAGGAAGAAAACTCCTGTTTCTGTCAGAACAGGGAGGCAGTTTCCACCTGCTTGTCCAGGAACACAAGAAATAAACTAGCCCTTGGAAGAGAAATCCATTGTCACATCAACAAATATTGAAGATATTTTCTGGGGATTTTGTGATTTTCCTCTCTTTCTTTAATTGTATAATACTTCCAAACAAACGGCGTGGCTGCTCCTGATGACCTATGAACTGTGACAACAAATGTGCAAACCCAGTGGGCAGGTGTTTCAGTCAGCCTTCTCTAACAGCAGAGCAAAAGGAAACAATAACTGATTTTAAGACTCTTGTGGAGGTATTTAAGATCAGTTTCATATGTAAGTAACGGCTGATCACGATCACCCAAAATTAAGGAAATTTGGGAAGATTGTTCAACCAGTTATTTGTGAATTTACTTTTACTTGGTGGTTTGGCGTAAGCTAAATATGACTAGGCAGTTAAGCTAGGCAAAAATGAATAAGCCAACTTTAAACCTGCAGTACTAAGGGGGGGTCAAGAGAACCCCCCTTGCACTTTTACAAGTTTTTTTGCTTTGTGGTTTCTGGAACTGAAGAGTGGGACACCCCATCACTTCTCCACTGACCGACTGACATCTGCCGCACTCTTCCAGAACTAAGACAGCGGGAGAGTTAAAAAAAAAAAAAAATCTAGTTGAGACGTTTGTCAAAAAGAGTAGAAATTAAGCCAACAATGTTTCCCAAATGTTGTCTCTTCTCCTACTCCTGCTCCCCTGGATGTCTTAGATAAGATACCTGAGCCTGCGAACCTCCGACCTCCTTCGCATCATGTGGATCATGCAGGTAGGATTTGCTTTTCTGTCTTTATTATTTAGTGTAATTTAAAAAAAAATTTTTAAAAAGTAAACCAAGCAGGCATATAAGTGCGTGTGCAAGTGTGCATTGTGCATGTTGGGCCTTGTGTGGATCAATCTGCTGTTTTTGTGGGCCATGCGCTTCGCTTTCTTGTGGCATATTTGTGTGGGTTAGGTTTTGTATGTCATGCACATGATGCGCATTTGGGATGTGGTTGTGCTCGTGTGGGCCAAGTACAGTGATAGTTTTGTGTGTACCCTTTGATTATATCCTGCAGACACCCCCCGCCTGGTGTTTCATTCTGTTTGGCTGTGGTTCCTATGTAGAGGAAGCCATCGTCTGACATAATGCTCCCATCAACTGGAAGATGTCAGCGTTATCTCCTTCTCCTGCTATTAACTTTTTGCTTTCATGAACATAAATAATCCTACATCACTTCAACTGTTTCTTTTCTGTGTCTCTGCTCTGTCTTCTCAAACCCCCAGTCAGTCATGGCAGAGAGCCACGTGTAGTGAGCAGGTTCTGCTGGAGTTTTTCCTTTCACTGTTGCTACATGCATGCTCAGTATGAGGGATAGCTGTAAAGTCAACATCATAACACAAGTGATTTCCCTACATGCCCATCCAGGAGGAGGGAATGCTGCCAGTTTCATTAGACAGAAACTTGTGAAACTATTTTTAATCATTAATTGAGCATTGTTGTGTCGACTCTTGCATCGTAATAAGGTCCAAAAAACAAAAATGCCAGAACAGTTTCAGGAGGTTTTCAACTCACTCAAAATAAAAAGCACTCGCAGAGAGTTTTCTGGTTTCAAAAAGTGTGTTTTCTTTACTTATAAAAATAACAGAAATATTCTCTGAGTTGACTTCATACAAAAATTTTAATATAAACGTTAATTTTGTGGTAGAAAAACTGTTTCACTCCTCGCTCCTTCACTAAACAATCAGATCAATTATACAGCTTTTGCTTGCAGGAGGCTGACTGACAAGAAGGAGGGCCTGAGCAAAATCAATAACGTATTTTCCGGATTATAAGGCGCACTCTCAATTATGGCATCCATTTCTGTATTTAACCCATACAAAAGGCGCACCGGATTATAAGACGCATGCTAAAACAAAACAAAAAAACAAAAAAGGTAACGGAAGCAAAACAGTAAGTTTAGTTGAACTTTATTCGACTATGTAACAATACACTCACTTCTTCTTCCACAAATGCATCAAAGTCCTCCTCTTCTGTATCTGAATTGAACAGCTGGGCAATTTCGCCATCAAACATGCCAGGTTCCCTCTCATTATTGTTGGAGTCAGTCTCATTGCCAGGTTCAGCAATGATGCCGGCTTTCGCGAAAGCTCGGACAACAGTTAAGGCAGATACATTAGCCCAGGCATCCACAATCCATTCACACATGGTGGCGTAACTCGCCCGGTGCTGCCTCCCCGTCTTAGTTAACGTGTGTTCGCTGTCTGTCATCCATCACTCCCACGACACTCGCAACTTCTATCTGAACGGCCTGTTTACACCAATGTCCAGCGGTTGAAGTTCTTTTGTTAATCCTCCCGGAATGACGGCAAGCTCCGAATTAGATTGCTTCACTTCATTTTTCACAGTAGCAGTGAGATGGGCGCGCATGGAGTCGGAGATGAAGAGGGACAGTGATGCTTGGAAAAACCAATCTGTTTTTTACAGGAAGCGTATGCTGCAGAACTCGGACAACAATTCTTTATTGCTGCCAGCGTCCATACTGTACGCTTTACGTCTCTGTGTCAGGGACAGATTTTGGAATTCAGTGCACACATAAGGCGCACCGGGTTATAAGGCGGACTGCTGATTTTTGAGAAAATTTAAGGCTTGTAGGTGCGCCTTATAGTCCAGAAAATACGGTAAGGGTTAGGATCCCAGTTGCTTTGCATAACTGGGATCAATAACATTAATACTTTAGCAAATAATCTAATTCTTAATAGGCTCCAACAAGCATTCTGTACTTTTTCATAAGGATCAATTTGTGATCAGAAGACATTTGTTGTGAATTAAGAGAAAAACTTGATTTCAATTCAGTATATTATATATTTCGGGGCAAAGCCCCGAGTCTTCCAGGATCCTAACACCACTGTTTGTTCTTCAAATATTAAACATATTGTGTTTTACAGTTCTGTGTATGCTCTCACATAAAACAATATGGAGTCTAAAGTATTATGGTCCACTCAGAAGCATTCAACATCAAAAAACACACGGTAATTAGCTTGTAGCTCCTTACCAACTTCTCTCGGGTCTCCTTCTGCTCTCTTCCCGTCTCATGCCGCTCCTCTGTGGTCCCTCGGGCCTTGGAAAGCGCCCTCTCGTCCTCCAGCCTTTCCATTTCCGCGACCGCAGCGTGGACCAGAGCTTCTATGACGGCTGCAAGCTGAGTGTGCATAGACATGGTGGAGCTCATGGCGGCCGCCTGTCTGTAGCGTCAGCGACTCTGCACAGTAAGTTTAACTGAGGGCACACCAGTTAAACCTGAGGAAACCGAGAGGAAATCAGTGAATTAAAACAGCAGTTCTAACTCTATAACAAAGCAACAAAACTCTTCTCCGGATAGAACAGCTTTCGTTTTGTGTGCATGATTTTCTTCTTCTATGACGTTTCATTGGCAGATTACATTTTTTGTGTATTACCGCCATCAACTGGACTGAGGTGCAATTCACAAATTTAACTTGCCTAACTAACTAACTAAATAAATAAATAACAAAAAATTATTCCAGCTAACTTTCTTTTAAATATTTTGTAAGTGCTTGAGTCTTCACTAATATATTAAACATTTGCTATTGAAATTCCCATTGTCTTTTACATTTCCAGTTTTTCTCTTGAATATTTTCTACATTTTATCAAAATATGTTCCACTCCTTCTATTTCTTCACAATTTGAACAAGCCCTTAGTGAATGTTTTCTTATAATTATTTTTAACAGGTTTACTGTAGCCTTCTTCTTCCTTTTTCAGCAGCTTTTGGCAATTGATCAACGTTTTGGTGTTTTACTGCCATTTGATACACATAAAAAAAAACAGTCTCCTGTTCATTTGAGTAAATTTCATATGTTTTTGCACATCATGCAAGTGACTATGACCAATTCTTTGCTTTTTCCAAATATGCAAGATATTCAGAGCTCAGAAACATGGCCAAGGTAAGGAAGGATGAAACCCGAACACCACTGAACAAGACACCTAAGTTGAAACATCAAGACTGGGCCAAGAGAGATCTGAAGACAGATCTTTCAAAAGTTTTATGGACTGATCAGATGAGAGTGACTCTTGACGGACCAGATGGATGGGCCTGTGGCGGATCAGTGATGGGCACAGAGCTCCACTTCACATCAGACACCAGCAAGGTGGAGGCAGGTACTGGTATGGACTGCTATTATTAAATACGAGCTAGTTGGACCTTTTCAGGTTGAAGATGGACTCAAAATGTACTCCAAAGCCTACTAGTTTTTAGAAGACACTTTCTTCAAGCAGTGGTACAGGAAAAAGTCTGCATCCTTCAAGAAGACCATGACTTTTATGCAGGACGATACTCCATGACAAGCATCAAGTACTCCTCTATGTGGCTAGCCAGTAAAGGTCTGAAAGAAAGAAAGAAAGAAAGAAAGACAGACAGACAGACAGACAGACAGACAGACAGACAGAAAGAAAGAAAGAAAGAAAGAAAGAAAGAAAGAAAGAAAGAAAGAAAGAAAGAAAGAAAGAAAGAAAGAAATGGCCCCCTTCCTCACCAGACTTAAACCCCATTGAAAACCTGTGGGTCTTTCTTAAATGGGAGATTTATCTCTGTGTCTGGGAGGCTGTGGTTGCTGCTGCACAAAAAGATCGTCAACACATCAACAACTGACAGACTCCATGAATGGAAAACTTATAGCTGCTATTTGTAATAATAATTGTGCACAGAGTGTATGCCAGTGGGTTAAAAAAATTCCACACAACAAAAAACTTTATTTCTTTTTTCAAAACAGATACAGATATTTCTTTCTTTCTGGGGCAGAGTTTTACCTTCCAGCAGGAGAACCACTGAGGTCCGTTGATGGACAGGTCACCACAAGAAATAGGATCAGTGGAAGAAGGCAGGTCACCAATCATTACAGAGGAGGATCTTCCCACTAAATATGAGGCTAAGCCTAGAAAGCCAACATTGTAACTTAGGCATGACAGCAGGACTGGGCGACTTTTATCATCTGTCTAAGGACTGAAGGTGAAAAATAGCCTTCTGGCTAACTCTGCATGTTTACAGAAATCTTACTAATATGCACTGTGCCTGTAATAAAAATAAATCAATTTAAACTATTTTTGTGATCCACTGTATCAAGTCCCTGTGAGGTAAAGGACAACTCCAGCATCCACAGACTGTGCAGCCCCCAGTGCTGTGATGGGATCTAATGACACTGACACTTTTCAAGGATAAAATTCTAAAAAACACTGTAGTTGACTAAAAATCACTTTTTATAAGATTTTAAAAAGAAAGGGCAGATAGATACAGGTCTGACATTCAAAAGTACACAGAGGTCCAAACTTGGCTTTTTGAGTAGAGGCCTTACTATTTGTTTGCTTTTAGACAGCAAAAAAAAAAAAAAAAAAAAAAAGCAGCCAGGACAAACTTAAGTAAAATAGCAACTTAATAGTACCTTAAGTAAAATAACTTTTCATTGATATAGTAACCTATTGAGATGAACATCTAAAATGCAAAAACTTGTTAATTATAATCAGTCCAGTTTGAGTTAACCAACTTTGCTCTCCAACACAGTGTAGGCCCTCTCGGAGCTCTTTAGATTTTCCAGATATCTTCTGAAAAACAGTTCTACAGAAAGTATGAAGAAGCTTCTCTTTAGACCAGAGGTCTCACTCTCGCGGCCCGCAGGATGATGTCTCGTGGCCCCCACCGTGATATGACGGTATAACATTAGTGCGCCCCAGAGCAAGTACACCTCGCTGCAGCAAACAGAAAGGGGCGGGGACAGACCATTGTCAGTCTCATACCTTATTTGGAAATGGGACCATTGCAATCCGGAAGCGAAGGCGGCGCTATTTCCTGTATTATCCGCGGACTCCCGTTTTTATTTTCTTTTTAAATCCGTGATACATCTTCACCTTTAGGAAGGAGTTTCACTCTCAGCATGTATTTGAACTTCAATCTTTTATTTACTTATGGGCAGCTCACAGTTTTTTTTAACAAATTCTGTAGTTTTCGGTGTACTTCTAAATCTGCTCCTTAGTCGCATCTTTTCGGGGTCCATCGCTGCCTCTAGTGGCGTGGGGGTGGTAACACAACTAATCTAATTACATTACTAAATCAGAATACCACAAAGTCTTTATTATTTATTATTAATTCTGGCATTACTGGAACAGTAAAAGATAAATTCCCTCACAAAAGAACATACCTTTCCATTTTCTTAAGGAAGTAGAGCTAACTAAATGACATAAACAAGACCTGAAAGTGATTCCAGTTTCTCTCGATGGCCAACCTGTTGAAACTGTGTCAAATTTTAAAATCCTTGTGTCATTCCTGGACAGTCAGCTCAACTTTGCTGAAAACACTGCCTATATCTTTAAGAACTGTTCTCAGAGACTCTATCTTTTAAGAAGACCCAGTGATCTTGGGGTTACCCAACTTGAGGTTGTGTACAACCTAGTTATACACAATTAGAAGTTGTTGAGTTAAAATGTTAAAACTTAACATTCTAACTAGAGTTTTAACTTAACTCAAGTTAGAACAACATTTTAACTCAAGTTTTAACTTTTCATCTTCTCGGCTGGTTTGGTCACATGAGCTGCAGATTAACAGACAATCTTTTAAGAATATTTTGAATGGCAGGTATAACGGCAGGTTATACCTGGTGGTGAAACCAAAAACAAATCTGTCTCAACTGTTTGCTGAAAGAACATGGAAGATGGCAAGAAATATTTTTGCACAGAAAGCATCTTCATTATTTAATCAGTTTGACCCTCTTAGGTCATGAAGATGTTACTGTGTTCTTTTGGCAACTAAGAATATGTATTAGAAGTCATTTATTGACAGTGCAATAATTATTCTTAACTAAACTAAATAACATTTACCTATAGCGTGCTAAGTGTTTTGCTCTATTCACAAATTGTTGATAATGTGATTCTATGAATATGATTTATCATTTCAGAGCCGAAGGAAAATTTCCACCTTGATAGATTAAATAGTTTTATCTTATTTTGTCCTATATATGACTCTACCAATAAAAAGTCTCTCAAAATAATATACATGGCACCATAAAAACAAAAATGTGAATTTTTGCTTATATCTGTTTAACAACCCTGGTTGTAACAACCTGGGTTGTTATTCCTAATTTGTGTATAACCCGTATAGTAAAACATAAGAGAAGTCTAAGATAATAAATAGCAAGAATAAGTTTATTTATTCTATCATTTTATTTAAATTAACATTTCAAAGTTCATATAAAGTTATTAAAAATGTGTTTACATTGTTTAAAATAAGTTATCTTTACTTTTTGGGGAATTGCCAGCGAAAATTGTATTTTCCTACGATAGTACGGTCTGTGAAGGTAGCAGAGGTGTGAGAAAAAAAAGAGTGGGTTCAGCATGAGAGGAGATAGCAGAGAAGGAGCAGTTAGCTGGTTTCGAAGTGAGTAAGCACAAACTTGTCGTCAGGACAAGTTGTAATATACAGTATGCAAGTTAGCAGGACACAGTAGAGTTTCAATGAGAAGCTGTTAGACTGTGTTTGTTTTTCTTCGTCGCTGTATGTACTCGAGAGCTAGAGCGAAGCTAACCTAGCTGTTCGCGAATATGGACTGCTGTTAAGCTGCAGTTTCGCTGTTAGAGTGAAACTTAAAGGGCTACAGAAGATCGTTACCGGACAGGATAACGAGAGACGGACTCCAGATAGTCACTCTGAGTACCTCTGGCTTCGTGGGAACGACGAAGCTGAAGTTGGTTTCCAATTCGAGCTTCCAATAGCTAAAGGGCGATTCCACTTAATTTTTCACTACTTT